TTCAGTAGTTTGATTATTTGGTCCCACTCTCTTCTAGCTTGTAGGGTTTCTGCTGAGAAGTCTAGTGATAACCTAATGGGATTTATTTTATAGGTTACTTCTTTTTCCTGGCAGCCTTGAGAATTTTTGTCATGAATTTATTTTGTTTACTTATTGATTTGAGAGAGGAAGGGGGGAGGATATTGATTTGTTGTTCCACTTATCTACGCACTTATTGGTTGCTTCTTGTATGTGCCCAGATTGGAGACCAAAGTCACAAACTTGGTGAATTGGGACAACACTCTAATCAACTGAGCAACCTGGCCAGGACCTCATCATTGGTGACAGTATTAATACAATGTGCCTTGGAGAAGGCCTTTTGGACTGAGGTAACTAGGTGTTCTGTTTGCTTCTTGGATTCAAGGACCTAGCTCTTTCCATAGGTTTGGGAAGTTCTCAACTGTTTGATAAGCTCTATTTCCTATGCCTACTAGTTCACTTTTCTCTTTTATTGAATCCTTCATCTCCAGGATTTGTTTGGTTCTTTTTAAAAGTTGTAATGTTTGGTAAAGTACTAATTTAGTTAGTTGACTTTGAGTTCATTTAACTGCCTGTTTTCTTGTATCTTGTTTCTGAGAACTAAAATCTTGAATTCTCTGTCATTTAAATCAGTGGTCACCAACCGGTGGTCTGTGAGGTCCGAAAGGTTGGCGACTGCTGACTTAAATCACATATTTCCATGATTTTATTTTTGGGATAATTTTCATTTTCTTCCTGGGCTGCCATGTTACCTTGGTTGTTCATGGTATTTGATGGATTCCTCCTCTCTCTAGATATCTGCACTAATAAAAGAGAAACATGGTAATTAGCGTACGACCGCTACCCTTTTCATTGGCTAATCAGTGAGTATATGCAAATTAACTGTCAGCCAAGATGGCGGCCGGCAGCCAGGCACTGAAGCAAGCACGAGGCTTGCTTGCTGCAGACTCCAACGTTCCCCGCCTCACTTGCCAGCCTCTCAGTTGCAACTCTAAGCAACTATATACTATGTTGCAAATAAGAAGCTAAACAAAACCCCAGAAAAGGGCTTCCATTCAGCCGGGCTCGGACCGCAACATTGTATCTATGTTTTCAGCAGCAAGGCCTCAGAGCTAAAGCTGGCCCAGAAAAAAAAAAAAAAAAGAGAAGAAAACAAGGAGCGGTTGGAAGCTTTAGTCACTCGCCAGCCGGAAAACAGCCCTCAGCCCCTCACCCAGACTGGCCAGGCACCCCAGTGGGGACCCCCACCCTGATCCAGGACACCCTTCAGGGCAAACCAGCCAGCCCCCACCCATGCACCAGGCCTCTATCCTATATAGTAAAAGGGTAATAGGCCTCCCAGCACCGGGATCAGCGGAGCAGCGAGGCTCCCGGCACCGGGATCAGCATGACAGGGGGCAGCGCCCAAACCCCCTGATCACCCTGTGGCTCTGTGAGTGACAGGGGGCAGGGCCACAACCTCCCTATC